GAATTTCCTTCAAATATGTTTTTGTTTTAGGGGTTCTCAATCTAAAACAAGATCGGATGTTAAAAATCAACACTTTTGGATAGACGAGGCAAAAGAAAATATTTTGAGTTTTTTTCCATTAAGCATTAGTTTTCCTTCAACAAGGGTAGTTTGCTTAGATGCAAGATTAGATCCTTGATGTAGTGGTTTTAAGAAGACAAAGATAGCTGTAAGAGCGCTTGATATTGCCTGTGATCATCAAGTGGGGATGGCATAATGTGTTGAAGATGGAATAATGTGGGAAGATTGAATAATTGCCTCATTTGGAAAGGAGGAAGAGACAGCCCCATCAGGACCATCGGATCCATCACATACTCTCCTCCCTCATACTCTAACAGAGCCGATTAGTGTCAGCTAGGAGAAGGTAGGTAGGATTCTTGCATGGATCTTCTGTGTAATATAAGGATCCCTAGGGCCCCAATTATGCCAGCATGAAGGATTAGCTGGTCAGGGGCGACACTCCAGGGCATTGGGTACCATCAGTCCCCTGCATGGGGTGGAACACAGATCTGCCACAGCTTCTCTCAAGATTAGCCTCTTTATATGCATGTAATGGTTTGTTTGGAGCCTCCAACTCTGCCGATGAGAAGGCAGGTTCCTGTTCAACCACTGGAGCCGTCGGTACCTGTAAACAAGCAATCTGGCTCTTGGAGAGAACAGGGGATCAACCTCGTGTCTTTGATGTCGTTTCTTCCTCCAGTGTGATGCTGTTGCTGAATAAGGTCAGGCCCAAAAGGAGAGGAGATTGAAGATGGGGAGTGTGAAGATATTCTCCAGGGAGACATAGGCTGTCCCAGAGTGTGGGGCATATTGTGGATGGGACTGATGGATCCAGCGGCTCCCTGGTTATAGCGGATGTCAGGTACATCTGGAGATGGGCCAGTATTAGTGCAAAGTTTAGTCTGGAGTTCTTAGACTGTGCCAGTGGGTGCCAATCCTTTGGTTTATGCATCAGAACCAAAGTTGGTACCAAAAAAATACTTACTCCTTCACTCATGTTGAGGAGAATTAAGCAGGCCTACCTCCTTAGTATTTGCACTTGAAGACTCACCCAATTTGGACAGAGTTGGGGAGGGATGTTTTTTCTAGGAGCAGCATTTGAAGAGGATCTGTCCTTATTCTTGTGAAAGTGCCCCATGATCTCATGAGACTCTAGGAAGGGACTCTTTGGTCTTTGCAGTTGTTGCCTAAGCTCCTGAGCTAGTGCCTGGAAGGACGCTGCTCGTCTACTTAGTTTGGTGTACAGGGAGGTCTACCCAGGCCAGATCTGACTGAGGTCTCATGACCTTCTCCAGGAGATTCTTTCTTACCTAGAGCTTTCAATCCTCACAGGTTTGGGGAGGGAAGGAGTGACAGATGCTGCACTAAGAAGAGAAGTGAGCCTTGCCAATGCAGTAAAGGTAGCGCTGGTGTTCGTTGCTCACTGAGAAAGAGCAGGGGCAGACGATACAATTCTTAAACTCTGGAAGTCTGAGCATTTTCCTTGTCTGTGGGGAAAAAGTTCCCCAATGCAGGGAAAAACTGCTATAATGCTAGTAAAAACCATCAATACTAAAATACTGAGAATTACTTACAATATAGATTTACAGATTAAGATGAAGAAGGAGGTAGCTGTGGACACAGAGGTTTCTGACTCAGACCATGCAGTGGTGGGAAGGAAATTGAGAGGTTTTGATCTGCACTGCCACTTACACCTTTGGTTCAGAGCACAAGGAGAGCAACTCTGCAGGTGTGAACCAACAGGCCCTACTTCCTAGAAATCTTCAATCTCAGAAGCATGGTGCGCACATGTACCCATTTATGAAAAACACATAGGGATCAGCACTCTAAGAAAAACCAAGGCCAGTATCTGGTAACCAAGAAAACCTAGCTTTATGGGTGTCAGGATAGGATCGTGCCAATAAAGAAGTTAAAACTCAAAATATTTTTCTAAAGTAAATTCTCCCTAAAATACCGCATAAATTAAACAATGTGTAGTGCTATAAATATTGTATTAGTACTACTTCGAGGTGACCTGCATAGCCACTGGGTTAGCCACTTTTGAGAAATGCCCAACCTGGGGCTAATAAAACATATCACCAAATATCATTTTGTATTCTGGCTATAATAGTTACTGTATAAAGACCCATCCTGCAAGATGCTTAGACCCTAAAAGGGGCTGTAGTTGGCGCTATATACCAAAGACTAGGTTAAAAAACCATTGCAAAAATCAAGTACCCCAAAATTAGAAAATGCTAAAATTAACATTGTTCACACAACTTTAATTCAGTCCCGTATGCATACACATTATAACAGAGTCTTGCCCAACATGACATAGTAAGTCTGTGGCAAAATCAGGATCAGATGATCCTGCTCTCACGAGTCCCAGGCCGGTGCCCTAGGCATAAGAGAAAAACTTAACTTCTTGCAATCCTTTGCCTTATTCCTGCTCCATTCTGTGCACTGAACAAAGCAGGGGAGAACAAACAGTTTGTGATAATTTAATTACAGACTGTATCATATTATTAGAGATTGTATCAGAGGGTAGAGGGCAGAAAGCTGACCTAAAGAGGCAGCACAGGTTTTCCCCCACTGCAGGGGAATTCTCAGGTTGTCGCCAGCCGTCCCCGAGTAAGGTACATCAGGGGTGGGAAGCAGGGAAAATGCATGCTAGGAGTAAGGAAGCATTCCGGCAGATCCTCATCTGCCACAGTTGCTACTCACAGACAGCATAAATTAGAGCAGCCCTCTAGCTCCTCTAAATTATGCTGAGTGCAGTGTTGGTCCCTGACCAGATCTAAGTGAAGGCAGTGGAAAGATGGCTTAGAACCACCTTCCCCACCTCTTTCCTCACCTGCAGTGAAGATAAACTCAGTACAGTCAAGGAACTAGCCTACAGTATTTGCATATGCAAATAAATATAAAAATATCTTATTGTCAGGACATAATTGACTCAAAGCCTTCTAGTGAAAACAATACAGTTCAAGAGTTTTGTAATCAGAACCCAATTACAGAATTTCTTTATATTATAGATAAGAGGTTTTAAGCATTTCTCCTTAGAATCAATGTTCTAAAAAGGTTACATTATTATTACTAGTGTGATGTCATATGGACCATAAAATTTAACTATCTGACATTCTGTCAGTGGTAAGAAGAATTTTTACCTTTCTTGGTCTATAGTACCATAGCATATATGGGAAAACAGTATAATATTTAGGCGTGCACGCACACAAACTTGTTTTTCTAAATTAAATCACCTACTTGCTTTGACACTTCCCTAGTCAGTGTAAATTGCTGTGGCAATAAAAAACAGGCTACTGCTGTTTGGTGAAGAAATCTGTATTCAAGAGCCCTCCTGTGGTTTGATGGCGTTACTGCCATTTAATAGCAGCAGATAAAATCCTATCAGATTATTAGCATAATCAAATCAGACCTTTCCTTGTACAATAAAGACCATCACTGGCTTTTCAAAAGGTAAGAACGTCTTTTGTTTGCAGGTGGATACCACGCTGGTGGAACCATTAAACTATTGACAAAATAATGTTGGAATGGAATGATGTGAAAACTGGATGATCCTGAAATCCTTGTTAGCTAAGTAACAGGAGGAGCAGTTCAGGCTTACCTCACCAGCACTGTGGCTGCGCTGTCTGGTTAAGTGCTGTCGATGCACTAATGCACTAGTGGGCCTGCTACTCTGCAAGGGAAGCCGTGGGTCAATGAACGTGGTGGTGCGGGAATTGTGGTCAACAAAAAAAGCCTAGAAAAGGAAAAAAGATTTCAGAGTCAACATTCATTGTAACTTAGAATATCAGGGTTAGAAGGAACCTCAGGCGATCATATAGTCCACCCCCCTGCTCAAAGCAGGACCAATACCCAGACAGATTTTTGCCCCAGATCCCTAAATGGCCCCCTCAAGGATTGAACTCACAACCCTGGGTTTAGTAGCCCAATGCTCAAACCACTGAGCTATCCCTAACTACACCTTCCTACAGTAAATACACTGGCAGGAGAGAAAGTGTGTGAGAATTAAAGCACAGGAGGATCTGGGTTCCAGTCACTGCTTTGAGACTTTAGAAAATTGCCTCGGTTTCCCCTTCTGTAAAACAAGGATAATGTATCTGTCTCACAGGAGACTTATGAGACTTAGTTCATTAATGTTTATACATCATTTTGAGATCCTCAGATAGGCCACAACATAAAAATACCAAGACAAATCATGATTGTTCTTCTAGAAAAGTGGACATGAATGTCTAACAGAAGTTATGTCAGCGCATTCACCACTTAATTTCATCTGTATGCATCTAAAAGGAGGTCACTTAGTGGCAACAACACTGCACTTTAACAAGCTATTTATCATATCATTATAAATATAGATAGGGTGTGTACACATGTCAAGCATATGATTAGGTTTTAGGACACAATGTGATTATAGGTTAAAAGGAGTGTTCTCCATCATTCTGCTAAAGCTATTCTAGGTAGGCCAACTTAAAGAGTCGACCAGGGATACAGAGAAGACGATGCCAAAAATATAAAAGAAGAATTCAAAGCAGGCCCAATGGTTTCCTGGACTAAGAAGAAATGACAAGCATTGACTGGTTAGCCATTTGCTGAGACAAGGCCATGTGATCATGTGTCCTAAACCTGAAAAGCCTCAAGTTGCAATACAATTAATTAGAGAAAAAAAAACCTCTCTATTCCAAGATATTTAAACTTGTTCCAGTTTTAGTGTCACACTTGCAAAACATTTCCTTGCCATTCTCATGCTTTTGGGGATTTTCAGACACCATGAAGGAGACACGTGGCACTACAGGGGGAGAAGGATATCTAGACTAAGCATCCACTCAGGTGATCCCAAGGCAGGTATATCAGCTCCCAAGGGAAGCAGTCTCTCCTGTTTGTTCAATGTCATTTCCTGGCCAGGAGCATGAGTAGCTGCCTTGTAGTTCTGACAGACGGCCTGTGCTCGTGCTTCAGCCCCTGCTACTGCTCCTGGGCGCACTCCCCCTCCAGCCTGCTCTGCTCTAGCTCAGTGGTCTCCTCAGGGGGTGCACAAGAGGATCTTTCGGGGTGCGTGGCAGTAGAAGCACTGCTGGAACAGCGCCCCCCTCCCTCGGCAGTTCGGTCAGGAGTCTGAGTGGCTTTTTTTTCCCCCTCCCTCGGCAGTTCGACCGGAAGTCCGAGCAGCAATTTTTTTTTTGCTTTGACAGTTCAGCTCAACAATTTTTTTTACTGATGGGGTGCGTGATCAAAAAAGTTTGGAGACCACTGCTCTAGCTCATGCCCCTGCTCCAGCCTGCATCTGCTCCTGCCCCAGCTGCCTGCCCCGCAATTCTGACAGCCTTCTCCTCAGCTAGGAGTTTTGGCTGTTGAGGAGAAAAATGGTTACTTATCTTCTCGTAAGTGTTGTTCTGTGAGACGTGTTGCACATGTCCATTCTATTGTGCGCGTGGGTGTGGAGATTTCATGCACCAGTGCCGGAGAGTTTTCCCTAGCGGTACATGTAAGGGTAACCTGGCTTCCTTCTGCCTGGATCTGAAGATATAAAGGATGGAACCTACTCCCGCACCTCTCCTTCACTTCCTTTGCATGAGACTCACATAATGATAGACTTTGATGTGCTGGCGAAGGAGGGTAGGTCACAGAATGGATATATGCAACACATCTTGAAGAGCAACAGTTACAAGAAGGTAAGTAACAGGTTTTTCCTTTTTCAGGTGATTACATATGTCCATTCCAGTGGAGGTGACTCCCAAGCTGTTTTCAATGGAGATGGGGCTCAGAGTCTCATCTGAAGAGGGACTGTTGGAATGCTTCCCCAACATTCATGTCACCCCTTGAGGCAGTTATAATCTCATAATATCTAGCAAAGGTACATACACGTCACTACCCTATAAATGTCAACAATAGGATCAGTTCCCACAAAGCCAGTAGATGCCAAATGTGCTCTAGTTGAATGCACTGACAGTTTTTCAAGACATGTCAGAAGTTTGGCATTATAGCACACAAAAACGCAGCTGGTAATCCGTTTAGAAAGTCTCTCTCATCACAGGATGACCTCTCATTCTCTCTGCATAGGAAACAAAGAGCTGACAAGAAACCTGAAGGAGTTTTGTTCTATCCAGATAAAAAGCCAGAGCTCTGCACACATCCAGAGTATGCAGCTTTTGTTCATTTTTCTAAACGTATGGCTTTGGAAAAAAGACCAGTAAGTATATTGGCTGATAGTGGCAGTGATGGCTACTAAGAAGAGTACTTCAGCCAAAAGATGTAACACTGAACAAGAGACTAAGGACTCGAATGGAAGCCCTATAAGAGCCTAAAGAATTCAAGTCCTAAGGCAGGGCCAAATCCCAAATAAGTGGGCAAAGCCTATTCAATCATTTCAGGAATCTGGTTGCTATGAGATTAGTGAACACAGTCCTTCCAGTAATACGAGAGTGACATACAGGAATTGCAGCCAGCTGCACCTTGATCAAACTGACTGCCAGATCTGACTCTTAGAGAGACAAAGTGGGTGAGCTAATATCTTTTATTGGACCAACTAGGGATGTAAATACCGTTTAAAAAGTTAACCGTTTAAATGATTAACCGATTAAGCAAGTGGGGCCAATCCTGCCAGCCAGCACGGCGGGGACTGGGGCTCATCCGCTGGCATGGCTGGGGCCTTTCTGGCTGGGTGGCGCTGTCGTGCCGGGCGGTGCGGCTGGAGCCACTTCGGCCAGGCAGCACAGATCTGGCCGGGTGGAGCAGCTGGGCCTACTCCAGACGGTGCGGTGCTGCTGGTGTTGGCAGGCCGGTCGACCCGGGGTTAACGGTTAAGGCAGGTTAACCTTTTACATCTCTAGGACCAACTTCTGTTGGTGAGAGCCACACAGAGCTCTCCTTCAGGTCATGAAAGCTTGTCTTTCTCACCCACCTTGTCTCTCTCATATCCTACACAGCTACAGCTACACTGCATACAGATCTGACTCTTTCGGACATAGAAAATAGTCCAAAATCTTCTAGATTGAAAGATTAAGAGACAAATAGTGGTGGACCACCCACATGGAGAAGTGTTTCCACTTATCATAAGTAAGCTATGGTCTGGAAGGTTTTCTACTATTCTGAGCAGAATATTTTGGACCGCTGCTGAACAACGTGCCACTTCTGGCATTAGCCAACAAGAAACCAATTCTTGAAGTGAAGCACTTACTGAGTTCAGATGCAACACCTGACTGTGGTCTTAAAAGATTATAGTCCTTGACTAGCTGGAGAAGTAAGGGACAGCCTGTGCAGATCAAAGTATGGGGTTGTCTTGGTCAGGCTGGGGCTATGAGGATCATCCTTCCTCTGTCTATCTGAGTTTCAATATCACTCTGGGAATGAGAGGTACTGGTGGGTAAGCATCTAGTATATCATTGTTTCATGGAAATAGGAAGGCATTTGATATGGAACCCTGACTGTAGCCAGCTTTGAAGCAACAGTGGGGGAATATCCTGTTCTGCCATGTTGCAAACAGATCTACCGTAGGAATTCCCACAACTTGAAATACCATCACATTAGAATTCATGGGCTGAGAGAGAGTTCGTGGTCTCTGCTTAGATCAGCAGGTGTGAAGCCTTGAGAGTTATATAATTCCTTACACTGAAATTCCACTTCTTGACTGCCTCCTGACACAGGTTGTCTGACCTGGTGCTTGTTTACATAAAACATAGCTGTGGCACTCCCTGTGAGCACCTGGCTTGAATGGGTGAGAGGAACTGCTGACATGCTCAGAATGTTGCACGTTGCTTCACAGTTTGAGATCATGTATGTGTAGCCTGGCCATGTGAATAGACCACATGCCCTGAGCTTGCAGTTCCCCACTCCATGATGGAAGCATCCATTGATGAAAGTCATTAAGGGGAGAACTGGTAAGAATGGGACTGCCCTGAACACAATGCCTGGGGGCATCCACCAATCCAGGGACGATAATCCTCTGGCTGGGATGCATACCAACTTGTCCAGGTGGTGTACCTCTGGGCACTAGAAAGATTTTAGCCATGCCTGCATACACAAGAGATGGATCTTGGCTTGTGTGTCACACATGTACAAGTGGCCATGTGCCCCAGAAGCCTGAGGCAGTTTTACATTGTGGTTTGCAGCTGCTTCTTGAAGGCTGCACAAACTCCCCTGGTCCTGAGCAAAGCCTGGAGAAGCCAAAACAATTAAAAATGAACTTTAAGAAAAAATAAAAACAAACACCCAACTGGATGAAAAAACGAGTACCACTAATTACTATGGACAGTTATACACTAACTACATACACATTTAAAGGCAAAAGACTACCAAAGTACAACAACATGCTCCGACCATAGATGGTAAAAAGGGAACTGAAAGAGGATGGGGTGGCTCTCGCTCCACCCTTTATATCCTTGACTCCAGGCATGAGGTAAGGTAGGGCGCCTGCCTGCCCACCCCTATTATGGAAATCTTTCTGTTGCCAGTGCATGAGACATGCACCCCCCCCCAAGTGGAATGGACATATGCAATCTCTTGAAGATGAAATCAGAGTTCCTCTTATAAGCCGTATGAAAATAGATAGACAGAAAACATGAGTCATGCGATAGAAGAGATAAGTATTATTATTTACTATGGTGGGGAGCATAGGGTCACTTCTGGGAAGTTCACATGACACAAAGGAGAAGCAAAAGCAGCTTCATACTATAGCATGGGACTATGATATCAAATTGTCCTTTTAGGTCTCAGGACAATGGGTTTGAGGCGTGGAAGGTTTGGAATTGGGGGAGGGGGGGGATTGTATCTGTCTACTGTCCCTATTGTGACTATAATTTCTGGTTACTGTTTTGAAGTTTTCATTTAATAAATGTGAACAGAAAAGAAACTGAGGCTCCAACATACTGGGAACAGTCCAGCAGAGGGCACCAAAACTCTGAAGGCCCCCAGATTGTCAAGCTGCTGTCTGGTAATCTGGAGCTAAATAGAGATATGCCTTACAAGTTGGTGTCTGGGATGAGACAAACTTTATAAAGGAAAACTACATACATTTTGCTCAGTTGAGTTATCTATAAATGTACAAATTAAGCATAATGTTTCTCTGTTGAATTTTGAAATGTTTTTGCTAATGGCAATGTTTGAGCCTAGGTCTGGTGGTGTCCACCTGGCCAAATAGTGATGTCAATTGTGACACTGGCTACACAGGATCCAGGTATTAGAGAAATACCCGTTTTACCAATTTCAATATTGGCTTTTTACATTTCTGCAAGGAGGCAGAGGGGATGCGCCATGTCATCTTTGGTATCTATGCCCCAGCTAATAGGTTTAATTCTCTTACTAGCAAATGTCCAGTAATTCTTTTTCAGGCGCTGATATTTATTTTATCCAACTCTATTTATCTGTATTCTGAAGGAAGCAAGACAACCTTCCAAAGGCTGACTTCAATGTACCGACCTTATAATAGAGTATACTTAGAAAAACAAACAAAAACAATGATTCGATATGAAAATGTTACTTGTTTAGAGCTATACTGCAGATGCACAATTCTCTGATTTAATGCAGCCATCTAACACAGCATGTAATGCTTTTTTGTACCCACTTAAACTATGCTTAAAGATTATATTAAGGGTGATCATGTCTTATTAAGCATGAATGCTTTTAGGCCAGCCAGCAGCAGTCTATAATAAAGCACAGATTTACTGTGCTGAAGCTTCATTAAAGAAAATCATTGGAACTTCAAAGCTCTGGGCTAATCTGGACACTGATTCCACAGTTGGAAACTGAACTGAGCACACTTAGGAAAAAAAAACAACCCCTAAGAAAAACACCCTAATTTTAAAGAAACTCCTATCACTGGTCCTGGCAAGGTATAGCCAGGAAACTTATAACAGTTGTGCAAAGTGACAGAATTTTGACCAAAAATTAAATCCCTTCCCCCCTCAAAGAACTATACATTTTAAAATAGAAGTTATTTCAAATAAAGGCTGTGAACGCTTGTTTAAATACTTTATTTCATCAATGGTCAACTTTATTTTAACATCCCCCAACACATACTATTTTTATTCTAGTTTCTGTTTATACACCGATTTTCTATGTATGATTTGCTTGCAAATCCAGGAAAGATTTTTTTTTTTAAATGAGATGGTTGTTTAGTTTAGAGCCAGGCATTTCAGAACAACTTCTGCCTAAGCTTCTCCACAGAGTTCTACCAATGGACCTCAGTTCACAGCCAATTGCGCAGAGGTAAGAAACATCAGAATCTACTAGGGAATAAAGCCCACTTGTCCCATTCTTTGTCTCTTTGCTCTAGCTGCTGGTCTGTGAAATAAGACACTTTAATCTTCACTGCCACTAGCCTAATAATTTGTGTTATCAAGAAAAATATCTTTATGTCCTCTAACTGGCAGGGTCCCACTCAGTCATTCATCTTCTATAAGATATATTAATCCCAGAATTCACTTGTGCACATGAGATATGTGTTGTTTTTTATTATGCTTTAACATATTTGTAAAGTGATAGCAGGTGAAAAATGAAAGAGCATTTTTTAATTGCAGCACAACAGAGATGAAGTATGGTCACCATCAGCACAAGTACTAAGGCACATAGAAGATATATTTATACATTGTGGCACAAGTACTGGACAAGCAAGGCACGCTGTACAAGTTAGGCCAGCCCTCATTTAGGTCATACACAGGCTACGATTCCTCTACTGTACTGAATACGTTTTTCTGCTGTGACTCATCTTCCACTGGTCACTGAAGAAGCAAGTATTACTTGTGGAAAAGCCAATTCAAAATGGTGAGAACCAGCAATCCTGAGCTACGGCACAGAAAAATATACTTCAAAATAAAGAGCTTCCTATGAGGCTTTGTTCAGTGCTTCCTCTATGTCTTGTTACAGCTGCATTAATCACGATCATCAAGTATCACACACAGAAATCCAGGGTTTGATTCTCCCTCTGGAGGATATGAGTAGCTCCTACTGAACTCGAAATGGAGTTACTCATATTCTTCAGGGAGAGAACTGGGCTCCAGGAAATTTAAGGGGAAGGGCTCAGTGAGAAAGAGGAAGAAAGAGGGAGACGGGGAAAAAAGGATGTTAAAATAATTGTATCTCCCCCACCATTTTTACACGTTTTCCTTAAAGCTGAAAAGTAATAAATCCAAGACGACAACATACCTCAAGCATATTTCCTGCCCTCAGTTTAGAGTCTGTTTGTATTCCCCATTCAGGTGTCAAGTACATTACTCATGTGGACACGCAAACATTCATGGCTAAATGTAGCCAAGAATTATAGACATAGGCACTTATTGGCTTAGTCAGACTATAGTCCTAATTGTTGCATGCAGTTTTGTTGAAGCTGTGTTGGTTCCAGGATATTAGAGAGACAAGGTGGGTGAGGTAATATCTTTTATGGGACCAGCTTCTGTTGGTGAAAGAGATAAGCTTTGAAGCTACACAGAGCTCTTCTTCAGGTTCTGACAGGGTCTGGTGCCGCTTTGAGTTGGTGGGTCCTGGTTTGTAGGAAGCTTGCTTCTGATGATGAGCTTGGAGAAGTTGGGGGGTTGCTTACAGGTCAGAAGAGGGGATTCAGGAAAGATTTCTTTCAGGATGTGATCCCCATCAAGTATGGTCTGTACTTGTTTAATGATACTTCCTACTAGTTCCAGTGTGGGGTCAAAGATCACAGCTAGGGTGTACGGTTGGAGGGAGGTTTATTACACCCTTAGTTGTCACCTACCAGCTCATACTGGGGCCCATACAAAGTATCATTAAACAGTTACAACCCGTACTTGACAACAACCACTTCCTGAAACTCTTCTCTGGCTTTCAAACAACCCCCCACCTCACCAAGCCCATCATCAGAAGCAAACTCCCGATAGACCAGGATTCAACTTAAAGCAGCACCAGACCAACAGACGCAAAACTTGCAGACATGTCTCCATTGCTATAACGATCAACACTCCTAACACCACACCTTTCAAGATCCATGAGTCCTACACATGCCTATCACAGCATGTGATGTACTTCCTACAGCACACTAGAAATCCCAACAACTATGCAGGTGAAAGCAGACAATCACTATGCTCCTGAAATGAACTCACACAATGATAAAAGACAAAAACACCATATTACTTGTGCTTACATTCATAACTTTGCTAGACAATAAAAATCATGGCTTGAATAGACACACTGGATTTATGGCTTATTACAACAATTGATAACCCACTAAACCCCCTCCCTTCCAGATTTCCCCCTCCCCCCCACGACTGGAGAGATGTTAACTGGTCATTTCGCCTTGAAAGGTCCCTTGAAATATGTGAACTACTTATGCTAAACAATCTGTTCCACCTCACATTTAGTTGTGACTTTTTGAGTACATTTTGCAGGCTTGAAGAAGAGCTCTGTAAGCTTGAAAGCTTGTCTCTCTGACCAACAGAAGCTGGTCCAACAAAAGATATCACCTCCTCCACCTTGTCTCTCTATAGTCCTAATTACCATTTATTTCTTACCCAAATAGATATCACTATCACTCCCTCACATGTTAATTCTAGCATACTTTTATTCTTTCCAATATCTATGCAAAGGGGAAAATGCCACTCTAGGTAGCACTATTATCTTGTAAGGCCACTGAAAATTCCCAACTTACTTTTTACAAGCTTCAACTTACATTTAGTTTACTTAGTGTATTGAATATAAAATTCTAAATGTCATGGTCATACAAAAAGTAACTGTAATTGCTCCCTCCTTGCCAGTATTCAATAATATCATTTACCCAAGGAAAGAAGCAGATCCAATATCACACCAACTTAAAAAAAAGGAAAATTAATGTAGAAACCACAGAGCAAATTTAAACTTTTACTGTTGAAATAAATATCATAACTTTTCTGACAATGAACATTTCTAATTCAAAGGATGAGTTAAAAGCTCCTAATTATTTTAAAGTGGCCAAATTATAACCTTAAATCTAGAAGGCTTTGCAATGCAACCATATCAAACAATTAATTTCTCGCAGTATTTATGGCCAGCATTGAATCACACAGAACCCAACTTTATGAGATATTCCCTAAGGCCAAGCTGGTCTGAATGCATCCAATCTCATCTCATCTCCAAAGCTGATCAATAATCAGTCTATTTGGTACTTGGATGGGGGACCAGCTGGGAACACCAGAAGCTATTAAGAAAGAAAAACTAATAAGGGATAAAGATAAATTCCATTATATAGAAGTTTTAAACTACAGTATGGAATCTAATAGTGAATGAGGTAGAAAAGTTATAATTCTCTACTAAATGTTTTTTCACAATGGTTAATGTTACTCAGTCTCTCTTCCCAACAATGCTCCCTCAGCACAGACAGGATGTACTACTTTGTGCAGGGGAGAGGAAGGAAAAAAACAGCCAGAGTAATGCGGAGAATCATCTGCATCTCTGCTCCTTTTAAGAGCAGATGCTTCAATCCCATCATTACAAAGACAAAATCCAACCAGCGTTACATATGTGTTCCAGGTACCTTGCCCTGATGGTCATGCTTCATTTCCCAACCTCTCGGCAGCTCCAGCTGTTTGTTAGCAAACATATTGAGGAAGCCCACCAAATCTCGATTATGCTGGTAACGCTCAAAATGATGGGTGTCCCGCCGGACTTTGGTGATCATGTGCTTCAAACACGTGTTGTTTGTAAACATGCGGTAGGCACTCTGAAAAATTCATAATAAAATAATTTCAGGAAAGGACATTAGAAGTTAAACGTCTACGTAGACAGATCATCAGTCCAACAGTTGGATGAGTGACCTATGTTCCAATGAGTGGGTAATAACTTGAACCCCAAACCAGCAAAGAACTTAAGCCTCAGTTCAATGGGCACTGGTGCTTGCCCAGGAGCAGTCCCACTGAAGTCAACAGGACTGTTCATGTGTTTAAAGTTAAGCATGTGCTTTAGTGATTTACTGAACTGGGGCCCTGACAATTAGATAAATAGTCAGCAATATGGAAGAATGGACATTAAAGAAAGAATAACAGAGTGGGAAGCAGTTATGAAATAAACACTTCACAATATATTTGATCATAACTGTTTTATTCATTTTCCGAAGTATCTAGATTTTAATCAAACAAAAGTATGTAGCTCTTTTTCCCTGGAAAGGCAGCCTTCCTAATGTAAATGTATGGCCTGCAGCTCTAATAAACTTTGAAGGAAACTGTTTCCAGCTGAACAATAGCAGCAGAAGAAAAGCCACGAAGTCTTCATTGCCTGACTCTATTATTCACCCAATGAGGTGCAAGCTGTATTTTCCAGCATTCCACTTCACTGATGTTGGTGTAGTTATGACTGCTTCTTCTAGCAATAAAATTGGTGTAAATTGCAGACTTCACAATGCCCTTCCTTCTTAAGGGTAATATATATAAAATAATGTCTCTTCTCTTGCCATAGTACCTGGCAACAAAACTGAAAGTGTATTAGAGTTTGGCACTATATTTTTTATGGAAAGTCACCAGGGATTTACATTAACATTGTTTCAACCTACTTGGATTCTAAAAGGATACTTGCATGTTTGATTGTAGCTCTACATAAACAAAACGAATGAAAGTCACAGAAATACACATGCCTTTTTTTCATCAAACAAAATGGACCTCTGCCTTATGAATTAAAGATGCAGCTGTGCAGGCTAGATTCCATGCAGCTGATTGGAACAATACACATACCATCCAATTAAAACTAACACTGCCCAGTAGTTTTAAAGCCACTGAATTATTAACAGGAGTACTTGCAGACAGTGAAGTATTCATTACATTATTTCTATTTATAATGTGCATGGAAAAAATAATGAACAGAAAAACTATTTAGGAAAGAGACCACTGGAGAATAAATAGGGAAAACTTTAAATCAAATATGGGGGGGAACAACACAAGAGACCTCTTTTATTCAATGATTTCTAATGTACTTTCATATAAAATAGGTGTGAATATGCTCTACTTAAATCCTCAAAATAGTGTAACTTGAGTAGTGCACACAACTGGCCATCTTCAGGGGTGTATTTCACCCTTTATAGGTGGATCACCTGTTGCAAGAAGCAAACTAGTTATGTTTTGCAACATGAAGACTGGGCAAATAGATAAGCAAGAAGTAAAAACTGAAGACACTAATGCCTCCAGGGGCAGTTTTTATATCACACCCAGCTCCAAAAGAATGCACTAAAGCAGTGGGATTTGCTATATCTGCCCGAATACACTTACCAGTGTATACTGTATCCAGTCATGTCTATAGATTGTACGCTGTTCAGGACAGAGATTTATTTGTTTGGCACCTTCCCTCTATTATATAATGCCATGTACACTTACAATCCTGTATACAGTAGTAGCCATTACAAAGTCAATATTTACCACCATTACTAGAGTGTTATCTGATAATGCAGAGATGCACTGTGTGTAAAGTAGACAATAACTGAAGTATCTCAAATAACATGGTGGTAAATGGGTAAATATTGGTTCTTTAACAGTTACCACTGTAAATAAATAAATAAAATGTCCCCTTTGTTCCCCCCAAAAAAGATTCCCCATTGCATCACTCTAGTTTTCTGGACATCTAATGTAATGCAGTGGTGAATCAGGCCCATAACAAATAAACGCTGCAGTTCCTCAGCACAGATGAAATCGGAAACCTTGACTTGAGCCTTATGTTAACAGCTGGTACGTACTGCCAATTTTCCACAGTGTTTTCATGGATATGCACAATTTGAATAGTAAAGTAATAAATCCCCCATATTGAGTAGCTCATCACATAGTTTCCTTTTTCATATCTTAGTCTCAAAATATTGAGTACGATTTTTCTATACAAGAAAAATACAGAGACCACAGATGTGCCCATATTTATCAATGTATATTTATGAAATTGCATGTCAGTATACGCTATACTCACAGGGTTAGAATGCAGCACTGTAAAGAACTCTGGACTGATAAGGAATTTCACCGGAGGAGACTGTAGCAATAAAGTAAGCCTGGATCTGGAGGTAGACTGAGGCAGCACATTCTCCCTTCGAAAATCTAACAACAAAGTGAGTGACAAAGATTTCCAGTAATAACGTTTAACAAAACCTCACTGCAAACAACTACACTGATTTGCATTATACACTCATGATAATTCCTGGATGGACATTTCTCTCAGGTTCTTAAAACGTTCTCTACATAAGTGTACCTCAAATAATCCTAATTTATCAATGCATGTTCGCTGAAGATATCTGACGTTTCCAGGGTAACGGTGTAGTTATACTTTTTAATTGTTTCTGATGTAAGAAATACATAAGTGCCTCTCTTACAAATCAATATTTACCCACAGTCACCACACAATGGTACTTGGGATACTAGAGCCATATTCCTACAAACGGAAAAGAAGGTAACAATGGTATGTCAGATACCATTGTGCTGTAACTGCAGACAAATACTGATTTTTTTTAATGCCAACCAATGTGAATACGTACAGTACATATAAAATCAATGTAATTTGTTATATGTTTCACTTCTCCTATTACAAGACAGCCAGCAATGAAGCACTGATCAGTTGTACAGCATTTAATAAAATGCTCATACAATGGAGGAAAGAAAAGGTTTGGTAAGGAAATCGATTTCAGTTCCATGTTTCCAGATGGATATGATAAACATTTGGGTGTCCCCTTAGCAGCCGCATTCATGTATTGATTTCTCACAAATATCAAGAACCGGAGAGGAACCATGGGTATCATGTGTTATATTCTTTCAACTAGAAAGGGCAACTAGTAAGGCTCTTTTAAAAGAATCAGGAGATTTGGATGCAGATTTTAAAGTAGATGGGAGGTTGTAAACATAGATTGGGATCACAATGGTCGTACCCAGGTCCACTAAAAATCATGACATCTTCCGTCCTTCACAAGCCCCTTCTTTTGTGTGTGTGACAATATGCACAGGGTCATCCTTCCTCACTAATTCTGGGAAGTCCAGCCATCCGTAGATAACAAATGAGCTCCATTAGGAAGAACACTATACTTTAAGAAACTAGAATATATAACTTAATAGAGGTGACCAGGAGAGGGGAAAGGACAGGTATTAAGTGGGAATAAAAGTTGAGGGAAGAACAGGGACTTCAAATCGGGGGAATGATGGGAGAGAGACAAAAGAAAGAAGGAAATGATGAACACAAATGGAGAAAGCTAGGGAACATAATAAAGGAGGGGAGAGTGGGAAACAAAGGTAATATTTGAAACAAATATGGAGAAAAATATTTCAAGCATTGAAGGAGTTCTGAAAAATGGAAGAGAAGAGAGATGAATAAGAGGAGAGAAAGTGTCACAATAAAATGCCCCCCCCATGGGGTCCCCTGGGTAAGCACCAGCGTTGTATATTGCTAATGCTTTTATATGTATTGGAAAATATCTTGGGAAGGGTTGAAGGTGTGAATGTGGAGTGGAAGATTCCTTTGCAGGTTACAAGAGGCCGAAGGGGGAGGAAGGGAGAAAGGAATGGGTTAACTCAAGGATCCTGCGAGGCCCGAAGATAAGGAACAAAACTGCAGCCCAAGGCCAGCACACACAAACAAGCTCTCTGCTGCCAACGGCCAGAAGCCTGGGTCTCAACCCTGGCCAGCCGTAAGAAAGGAGAACTGAGCCAAACAAAACTGAAGGGGTGCAAAACTTGTAAAACTGCGAAGGTCAGTAAGTTAAAAAACAGTCTCTCGACCCTGAGACCGGTGAGTTTCGGGGAAACTAAGGGAGCTGCGGAAGGAGGTTCGGACTGGTACTGAGAGCACGGGAGACAAGGGTCCCTGGACAAAAATGCCCCCGGAAGAATCCAGGGCTTAAAACCCTCCCGAGAGCTGAGGTAAGTCGGAGATTTACAACGGACCCTAGACGACCTGTGCACAGGGCAGAACTGTCGTCTACCCTTCCCCCTCTTCATCTTACGTTACACCCAGGCTTGGCCAGCCTTGGATTGTGCATGTGTAAGTACGAAAGTGCGTCAGGGCTTGGGCACTAACGCTTTCTTCCTCCCTCTGAGTGACGTGGGGCACGCCTAGCACTCACCGCTGTTATTTGGTTAATAAAGCCTTAAACTTAGTCACTTGGTGTGCTCTTTCATCTCCTCCCCTAAAGATCCTGCGGCCTCAGCCTGATCACGTCAAGCCCCAGGCAGATTGGTAACATAAATCTGTCACAAAAGATACTTACAACTACTTCTCATGCAGTACTTCCCTCAATTCCTCCCACTGTGTGTCGATCATGGGGATGTTGCCTTGTTCTCAGATGACAGTCTCATCACTTCTTTTGTGAAAGTCAGTAGTGTAACATCTAATTAACTTCTTGGCACCTCCAGCAGTCCCTGCCATCCCCTTCCCCCACTGCCAACAATGAAATTATGCACGGAGAGAGACCCTGATTGTTGGCTTCAAGGGGTTAACTTTAACAATGGAAAAGCCTTCATTAAGGAAAAACCTCACTGAATTTCTAACTTAAAATTGCCTGACAAAATGGAGGACTCAGGTTACTTCCCAGGTATATAATTCTGCTGGTTTAATTCATTCAAACTGCCATCTAAGCTCATCTTCCCTTATATTAGCAACAGAAGCAACATTGATAATGAGCTCAGAAGTCAAGAGAAGAAGGGGAAATTCATATTAACAGAGTGAAAGGAATTGCTACAGACTAGCCTGGTGTTCACTACATGCCACCATTAATAATCATAATAACTAAAAAGTTGGCAGCTGGAGAACATTTTTATGCAAATGGCCTACATTAGCCATTTACATAGCTTCCTAACGTGAGAGAGTAAAGAAGCTGAAACACACACACAATTCTTCAACATGCAGATTGAAGAAGTGCTAATAAGCTGAGCCATATCAGGTAGAAACAGGACAGTAAATGACTGCAAACGGATGGCTCTATGCAGACAGAAAGTAGGGTTCTCCTTGTCTCGCTCTCGCTAAATGGCTGATGAGCTGAACTCTCCATTGATCAACATCAATTTTATTTTTACCTGCATTAGAAGGATGGAAGTCAGTATCCTCTCCAGCTCCATCAATGGCATGTGGGTGCTCTTCAGGCCTCTCATTAGTCATCGTTCGACGAATACTCTGGTATCTAGAATTACAAGACTGGATTTACATACGCTATAGGGTGAATATCCCTACATCTGGCACTAGGAAACCCCAACTACTGAAGCTGTTTTAATTGCTTTTTTCATCCGTGTAGCCTAAAATCCACAGATGTCTGATTATTCACAGCCTTCTATGGCCTGACTTTTTGTGGTTCCTTACCCATTGTTTTTGGCCATTGAACATTAATGGAACATAGATGCTAGTAGCCTGCATCCAGATTCAGGGGGACATTCAGAAGAACCACACTTAAGACCCACTGGTTCACAAAAGACGGCACAGAGCTACTTATGGTAGTAGCTGGGACCTAGTCCTCATACTGGGTTGTAAAATGCCAAGCACAATTTTGGTACTATAAACTTAATCACTGACAACAACAATTCTCACCGGCGATTCAGCTGCTCCATTTGCTGTATAGAATTTGACCTCTGGAGGATCTGTGGGGCTGGAGGAGCTGTGGGTCGCTGCCATGTTGTTGTTCTGTTTACATGATCCACATAGAATATCCTCCCATGGCTGTCGATTCGGGCCTCCCAGTCTGAACAGCAATAAATCGTTATAAGCTATGATTTTTTCTTTAAATTTTGCTACTTTTTAAACTAAACCTGTTGTCCTGAGTTTCTATTTCTCTTCTTGAAGATTCCTTCGATCCAGCACTTTTTGATTGCCCTCTGTCTACATGACTCATAGCTAAAACCCCAGGCTTTTTTCAGATGTTATTCTGCAAATCTACCTGCCACTGTACTGAGTTTATATAGAATTCACATTTAATATGGATTATCCAATATGTGCTGATGCTCCACTGACTAGGGGGTGTATGACCCTAAGCCGAATCTGTGTGTTCACACCCTACGCACTAGTGCAATGATATGCCTTGTGAGGTATCATTTAAAAACTAACACCACTCTGGTCAATAATATCATTGTAAAATATATGCGACAATGCTGTATGTGAAATTATGGATACTCATTGATATTATGCTTTAAAGTCTGTGATTAATAGGTGTTTAAACCAGGCATGCCAGGTGGAGTGGATTAACAGGTTTTGTCCAGAAAAAAGGAAAGAGGGTGACACCTCAAACCAGGTGTGGCCAAATTCAGTGGGCTATTTATTTGTATCGTGGGTGGAGATAATTTGCACTTTAGCAATCACCAGCAGAGGAGGAACCAGCATGAAGCCTTATCCTCCAAAACCCAAGACTCCTTTACTCAGCATGAACTAATTAACTTTATTTGGGAGTAGCCTTCAGAAGAATACATTTCAGAGGTTCACTGGACTATATGAAAGGGGGAGCAAACCCCTAAATTATCCTTCACCTTAAGGCGACAAAGAAACCAAGTGATTTGATCTCTGTGATGGGTCCTAGCCATGCCAGTCGGTAAAAATTTGGAAAGAAGACTGTGGGTGAGAGAAAGACCTTCTTGAACAAAGATTGTATCTTGCTAGATGAGTGTTTTCACTTTTATTTGCTTGTAACCTTTATTTTTTTACTTGATATCACTTAACCGGTGCTCTTCTGTGCATAAATTTGTTTTACTTTTAATCTAAATGAACCCAGTGCTGTGTTTGAACTGAAGTGATGGTTAACTCTGATTAAAGTAACAAGCTGTTCTTTTGTCTCTTTAAAAAGAACCAATAAACCTTACTGCTCCCTTAAGTGTTCCAGAGGAGGGCCGGATGCTTCCAGGCAGCCAGACGGTTTTGGGAAATTCAGGACTGGAGTGTATGAAAGTAGTAACCACGGCTTGTGGAGACCAAGGTGGAGCACAGGCTGTGTTGTAGGCAGGCTACTGGGCCGAGGCTGCACAGCACCCAGACACAAGGGAACTGCATGCTTGTCTGCTGGTGCCCAGGATGTGAGCCACAGCAGCAGAACATTTAAGGCACTTCGGATTACAGGCAGACAGTGACACAACCCCTCAGTTTGTACCCCAAAACATTACAGAGTGTGAATCCCAAATTAAACAATTCAAGATCTTTGGGTTCACTCACTTCAATGACTGTATCACGGCATACTGCAGATGAAGTTTAGGGCAGGCCAGAAGGCCGGCTCAAGTTCCATGGGCCAGCTCAAGTTTCATGCACCAACTGAGCTCCATTTAAGCCCGAATTTATAGACTTAAGCAGAACTTCAGTGGTGTTAGGCCCCTGCTGGCCCTCTGAATTGCACCTTTATAGAACAGAGGTGACCTTTGTAAATCTTAACTAGTTGTTTTGATTTTGGTATCTAGTGGTCGGTTTTTTCAGCTGTCAATAACAGTAAGGCATATTAGTTAATGATACATAATGTGTATTTCACTGTGATAAATTACTCTTTAGAGAGGAAAGATTATATTAAATGCTCTTCCAGTGCTGCAATGTATTACTATGATAAATGAAAAACCACATTCACACACACAATAGAGTACTAACCACAGACTGTGGAAAACAACCAGGCCCATTCCTAGGGAAAGCAACAAATAAATGGTAGGAGACAACCTTGATTACTTACCTCTCAGCATAGGCACAGCCAATTGACCAAAAGTAATTAAGCCTGGTAAAACTAAATTTTTCGGAGTGCTGTAACCTCTTACTTGGCTTTCCAAGAGGACTGCCAATTTCAGAGTATATAGAGATTTTATATTCTGGGGAAAAAGGCCTTTCCTCTACTTAGCACATATTCTCCACTCCTCTCTTCAAATCAAGTCTGCAGCTGAACAGTGTTGTGCAATAAGGTCCCAATCCAGCAAAGCACTTGTGCACATGCTTGACTTTGAGCATGTAACTTGTCCCATTTTCTTCAAGTTAAGCACTGGCTTAAGTGCTGCAGTGCATTGCAGAGGGATAGCTCAGTGGTTTGAGCATTAGCCTGCTAAACCCAGGGTTGTAAGTTCAATTCTTGAGGGGGCCAATTAGGGATCTGGGGCAAAATCAGGACTTGGTCCTGCTAGTAAAGACTTGATGACCTTTCGGGGTCCCTTCCAGTTCTAGGAGATAGGATATCTCCATATATTATTATTATTATTGAGACCTCAATGCCATTACTGAGGCAACTACTTAGATTACTGCCACCTTCAATCAATTAAACTGGATGCAAATGTGTTTACAAAAATATATTTTTAAAACAAAAGCTTGAAGATACAGTGAATTTGCATAATTTCTATGCAGTTAATCAAGTTTTTATAGTACCAGGTTATCTGTTTTTTGCTTTCCCTATTAACATAATGAGTAATTTGTAAAATCAGCATATGGTATATGTATATTGCATAAATAATATATTTTTTCTAATTTTTGAACATAACTATATGGCAACTGGAATAACTATCTTTTCCTCTGTCGCAGCCTGATGTAACAAACCTAGAACGTATTCCAAAGCACCGTGAGACTGTGGTATGCTGCCCACAACCTTTGACTGAATAAGCATGTTCCATTACAGTGAGTGTTTGCCCCAGATAACGTCACAATAATGTAACATTCAAGCACATTTTCAGACAGAAAAACTGAATCCAGAGGGTGTTCAGTATTTTTTTCTGGTTTAAGTTTTATTCATAGTAGTAGATGGATGATCTGTATAAACCCTTGCATGTGCCTTGATTTTTTTCCCTTTCTAAATATTTATTATTTAAGTATGGCGGGGGGGGGGAATATCAAGGCTCAGTACTGGGTACAAACACACACACACCCTCATAGTAAATGACAGTGTTGGAATATTATATTGCAACACAAAATGTAAATATTATGAGATATTTTTAAAGGCAACAATTATAGCAGACACAGCTTATGAGAAAAATAAGCAGTTTCTATATACATCACTGCAGTATAAAAGGCACCTCTCAAATGTTTCTAATTTATTATATCTTGACCTGATCTCATCTAAATATTTCCTGTAAATGTTCTGTATCCTGTCAGTCAGAAAAGTGATGAAAATGCCAAAAGTACCTATCTCCCCCAGGCAGGACTCTGAAAAGAAATACTGTGTTATGAGAAATTTTAAATTAAGGTGTAGGGTGCTAACATTCTCTTTGGCTGACCTGGTAGTTGGAGATTTTTGAATGACAACACTATCATGACCATTTGCTGTAATAGAATCAAACTGGAGCAAGAGGATAATGGGCTTCATTCAGCACTCCTCCTAGGTCTCATTACTATGCCAACACAATCCTATTCCACATGGCAAGATGAATATCCTACTTTTTATTAAATTCAATGGGCACAATCCTGATCCCATTAAAGTCAAAGGGAGTTTCTTTTCTGCTGTTTGACATCAGTCTTCAAAACCACCTGCCTACTCTCCCCACCCCTTGTGAAACAAAGAATAAGAAGTCAGGGCTGGTATAGGTTAGTGATTGTCTATGAAGGGGATGTTCGTAACTGGCCTCATATTTTCTGGGGGGGGAGAAGCGGGGGTAAACAATGTTTCCCCACTAGTAGTGTACAGGTAGATGCTATAATCCTTCCCCTTCAAATATTTAATACTGACTGGGTTATAACTGGGCCAGGGTTATTCATGTGCATTAGTCAAGTAATTGAAAGCAACATGCTAGCCACATATACAATACTGAGTGACTATTTCTAAGCCAATTTAGAGGCATCCAATAGTTAGGTTAACATCTAGGTTTACTTTATGTCCAGAGTATCTTCATTTCCTCCACAAAACAAAAACAATTAAAATAACAAAATGTCTTAATTTCTTTTTACACCTAATTGTATCACCATTCCACTAATGATCACTCTCTGGATCCATCAACAATGACAAAGTCCCAGGTCAGCCAAAGAGAACATTAGCACCCTACACCTACTGCATCTCATGCATTGTACATAATAAATATATCCCATGACACAGCAGCTGAAAGCAGGAAGGCGAACGCTTCAGGTGCTAGCTTTCCAGTTGATCCTGGAACTCCAGTTAGCACTGTGTGTCACAGAGTTACGTTATTTCAGTGGAAATCTCCACCAGCTTTGAAGTACCCCGCAGCTTACAGAGTCCTTGGATATCTTTGCTTCCTAGCCCCCACCATAGCACATCACCCCACATCGCTACTCATCTGGATCACAAGTTGAAAAGGCAATTTCTTTCCCCCGTAGATCTCTACCAATTTCATTTAGTGGACCACCACAAGAGGTTTAATCAGCATAGCACATTGTGGTACTTCCTAAACCAAACACAGTCTCTCTTACAAAAGATTTCATAGCCTTGTTCCCCACACAGAACTCCTCTGCTGATCTTAGTTCTCGTTGAATTACAGGGCCACATTACTCCTAGAGTAGTTTATATCCTGAACGCTTGGATTAAAGTAAAACAGAATCTCACTTGGTGGCAGAGCCTCATCCACTCTCTGATATCGGCTAGCATCCTGACGTACTGACGGTAGTGACCTCAAATTCTGATGGCCATTGGCTTGGGAACCTAGAATTAAACAGAGAAGACATTCAGTTATTTTTTCATTCAGTGCTAAGAAGCTGTTGACTGGCCTCTGAATTGAACAGCACAGTGAATATGGATTCTGTCTGTAATTTCAAGTCTCAGAGGGGGCACCAACTCACATCTGGCTCCTCAGACAGCACACAGACCACATGAGACCATCGGGGAAACCCAGTTCAAATACAGTAACTGCTGCTTTAAGATCTTAAGGCCAAATTCTATATTGGGGTCCATGGCTGCAACTCCACTGATTTCAGTAGAATTACGCAAATTTACACCACAAGGGAATTTGGCACTTAGTGGCTGGATAATAGGACAACAGAGGTCTATTGACAATACTTTAACAAGATCGCCCACTAAAATAATTTCCTTTAGTTGTGTAAGCAAGGGGTGAGGGCTGCTCAGTGAGAAGGAATGATCGATTCTACTTATTGATTTGTTCCCTTAAATAAAAGTTCATACTCCTAACTAAAGGGGATAGACAACGTCATTTGTCAAGTTATCTTATATTACTAAGTGCACTTCACTGGAAAGTTTTACACATTGTTGCTGAAAAATATACCAACCACACTGAAAGTATACACAACTTGTACACTCTGGGCGAAATCCTGGCACTACTGGAATCAATGACAAAACTTCCATTGACTATAATGGGGCTGGGATTTCACTCTCTATGTAGGTGGCGTGTGAGGATTCTGAGAGAGTCTGAGAATATCGTTCCCAGGGATATTTTGGTGCAATTTGGTACATTCAGAAGTCTAAATGTTGCTCTTCAGAAGTATTTGATGTACTTGCGATAAGCCTTCCCTGGCAGGGATGACTTACTGTAGCAGTATCCAGCATGTGATCAACTCCATCAGAGGCTGGCGGTCATCCCAGGCCTCCTCAAATATGGTGGTGAAGTGCTACCAAGGAACTCCCAAGAGTCCCCACTTCATCACCAGAAAAAGGAAGTGAATGAATACATGGTAAAAATTGTAACGAGGGACAAGTTATTTATTATAATATATTACTACCTACACTGAAGTTAGGTATGACACACAATTTTTAAATCCTGAATTAGCTTTACAAGTAATTGTTGTAAATAGAATGAACGTATGAAATCTTTTCCCATGGAGAGACATGCTTGAGCAGGTCAGAATTTGTAAATAAAAGGGGAAATCAGCTTTAAATCTGATAAATAATTCTTTAAAAAATAGAGCTTTTGTTCTCTTTGCACTTTATGATACATAAAGATTTGTTTTCCCCTTTCCCCAAAACAATAAAAGTGCCAGGAGCTCAATTTCTTATGTATTAGTTTTCTGATTTGTTTTTCCCCCCATTAATAATTTTGATTAGCCAACACAGTAAAATGATCTGATTTCTTTTCCAAGATACACTTTCCATTTCAATTTTTTTAAATCTGATTTTCAAAACCATAACAAATTGATTGAAATACTATTAAAATGTTTTTTTTAAATCAGACTATTTCAAACCCCACCAAGAACAGAACTATTTTGAAATTTTTATGAATTAAGTATTTTTAAACAGCTCTTCTAATGACTGCAGAAAAGCCTTCTCACTCAAAAACCAGTCCCATTTATTGTCTCCATAGTAATTACCTCCACTAGCTCCTTCAACTTGTGTAGCTCCCTCCTCGCCAGCAGCTTGGGTACCTCCAGTTTCTTCATCCTGACACTGGCTACTTGCAGCGGCAGCCTGCAGACTCCTCCTCCTCTGCCAAATTTCTTCTGATTCATCTCTATCCTGTAATTCACCTCCTTCAGCTAGCTGCCGAGCCTCCTCTTGACTGCTGGGTAACCGCACCGCAGGTAAAGAGCCAGGAGTGCACACAGAGTCCTGTGTTTCTGCAGCAGGCTCACTTCTGGTCACATGGGTGGCACAAGCTCCCTCTTCCTCTTCCTGAGAAGAAAAGGCAGGAGTCTCAGAAAATCTGGCACTTTCAAAAGAAGAACACTGAGTTTCGACTGAGGAGAGACGTGTAGTCACACTTTCATTGCAAGAACTGTCTGCCCCTTCCACATCACTCTCTCCTTCTGGCCTGGTACTGGCCTCACTGACACTTTCAGTGCGAGCAGGATCACTGTGCTCAGTTTCTGAGGATACCTGGGAAGGTTCAGATCCTTGGTCAAGGGATTCCGTTTCACTAATACCTCTTCTACTACCAATGGCAGAGTCTGAAGCTCCCATGTCTGCACTGCTAGTAGGCTGCTCTGCCACCTGACAGGCACACAATTCGCTGCCAGCCCATTCTACAGACAGATTATTCTGAGAATCTGGCTGGCCTTCACCTTCTTCTCCTGCAAACTCTGATGGTGGAAGCCCTTGGAGAGTCTCCTGCTGGTTATCAGAGGGCTGCAAAGGAGTTTCGAAGGCTGGTGCTTTCCCATCCTCTGCAGGACCTTGCATTATCTGATTTGATGATGAGTAACTTAAAAAATTTCCTTCAACACTCCTTGTAGCACCATTAAACATTACTAAACCGCCATCTTCTTCCAAGGAAGACTGAAAATCCAGATCTTTATGCAACTCATGCTCCTCTTCATCTGAGTCAATGTGAAGCATAGCATTAAGTCTCGTGTCAGTAGGAAAACTACTCCTTAGTTTTGGGGATGCCCCAAGTGACCGCTCACTGCAGGCAGATGTCCCAGGTCTGGGATGACTATTATGTTCTATTGCATCCAAATAGTCATTCAATGAGTCCTGGCGACCTCTGTTAGGTGATGACCTTGCAGGAGTAGAGGTTAACTCTTCCTGGTCCATTTCCAGAGTTGTACTAGTCCTTAAAGAATGTGTAAGAACTGCATTTCCAACAGATTCCTCAAGGATTGGGCCATTTAAACAAATTGGAAGTGTGTCATGGTTCCCTGCTGGCATGTCCTCATCATCAGAAGGGCTTCCTAAGTCTTCATTCACAGAGTTCACTCCTAGCAAAGTACCAACTGTTTCTGGTGAAGCATCTGCAATGAAACACAAAGACTGGGAATGAAACACATGAATACATCTATTCAGTTAATTCTAATATCTCTGCACAACACGATGCTATAAAAACACACTTCTGTTAAGATACCCATTCGCTGCATACAAACAGTGAAGTGAAGAAAAACCCCACCAAAAAAAAAAATCTGTACTCCTACTCATGCAGGATCAACATTTATAGAATTTGCTCAATATAAGTTTAACCTATTTTATACAATAAAGGAAACACAATATGCATGAAGTATCATTATAAAGGACTCCCATCCTGCTCTTATATATTCAGCACATTGCCAAAATTGGCTCTTATACAAAACAAGGTAAAAACCTGTTTTCTAAAGTCTGTGCTCTTGTTCCTAAGAGCAGAATTTGCACAGAACCTGAGACTGACATTAACTGCCTTATGGGGCAGTCACAAACTGTACAAATATCACACTCTGTACAGAACAGTTTTATATTTACTTAGAGGTTTTTTCCCCTCTTTAGAAAAGGAGGATCTAAAGTTCCATGGACAATAACGGTATGTCTACACTTCAAAAATGACCCACAGCAGCGAGTCTCAGAATCCGGGTCAATTGACTCAGGCTCGTGGGGCTTGTGCTACAGGGCTAAAACCAGTAGTTGAGATGTTTGAGCTGGGGCTGGAGCCTGGGCTCTGTAACCCAGGGAGGGAGCAGAATTACAGGGAATATCTACACAGCAGCTAGATACCCTTGGCTGACCTGTGCCAGCTGACTCGGGCTGTGGGCTGTTTAGTTGCTGTGTAGACTTCCAGGCTTGGGCTGGAGCCCAAGCTCTGGGACCCTTTCACTTCTCAGGTCCTAAAGCCTGGCTCCAGCCCGAGCCTACACAGCAGTGAAATAGCCCCACAGCCCGCGCCCCACAAGCCCAAGTCAGCTGGCACGAGCCACCTATGGATGTCTAGTTCCTGTGTAGACATATCCTCAGAGACATTTTTACACTTTAGGAATTGAAAAGGATGTATGAGGCCAACTACTCTCCCTACAATGAAAATACAGTATGCCAAGTACATTCAAATATATCAGTAATAATAAAAGTAGAAAATAAGTAGGATAAAATTAGTATTTAGTAGTACTACTACTAATAATCTTTGAAACGTTTGGTCCATCACTTTCACACAAAGCTTTTCTATAATAGGGGCACTATTCACAACAGGATTAGTATGTGTAACAGGTAGTCATAGTACATAATGATTTTCTCTACCCAATCATTAGTGTGCACAGGTTTTAAATCTCACCTTCATGAATGGAAGATGTAATCTCGACTCTGAATTGGAGATACCCACTTACATGGTCAGCTGGGAGCCTTCTGCCAAGGTTATAGCTAAGAATCTGGTCTCTGCAGAGAAGAAAAAAATACTGTTCTCTAGACTTTTTACTATTATTTTATTTTTCAAATGTTTTACATCACAGGTTCCTGTCAGAGAGGTGCGACATAATAAAAGGTAATAGAGAATCATGAATTCATAAAAGTGAGCATCACGTTAGTTTGTGTAACAGAGCATGCAGACTGTACACTTCCTAAAAGACAATTAATTACCAGATAAAGCAACATAGCATATCCATCAACTATGCTTTTGTCCTTATTCCAAATATAAATTGTGCACTGGCAACTTTCATCCACCCACAAATCTTCTCTTAATTGAAAAACAAACAACAACAAAAATGTGTGCACTTTAAGATTTCAAAACCTTTTTATTTCTGAAATCATTCTGCCCTCTGGTGGTTTTCACTGCACAGAAAATATTTTTAATTATTTACCTGAACAAGAGACACTATAATTTTTATTTTTAGGTTCCAATTCAACAAAGCACTTATGCATACATTTAACTTTAAGCATATGCTTAAATCTATTCCTATTCAGCAAAACTCTTATGCACGCGCTTAAATTTAAAAATGTGCTTAAGCCTTAGTAACTTCAATGGGACTTAAACAAGTGCTTCCTGAATTGGGTTTTAGGATGAGATTCTGAACAGCATAGAACTCACAGCCCAGGGTCCTCTCCAACATAATTTAGACAGCTGTGGGGGCCTTGTCTTAAGGCCTTGTTTACATGGGGAAGTTTTCCCAGTATAGTTATACTGGTGTAACCCCCCATTTGGACATACTTATTCCAACATGAGTGAGACTTTTTCTGGTTCAGCTTAAACCCCTTCCCAAACAACAAACTAAACCAAAAAAAAAAGCCACTTTTATACCAGCGTAAGTGTTTCCACATGGGGGGTAGGGCTAATATCAGTATAACTATAGTGGTTTAAATTCACACCTTTGGATATATATAAAAAAAACCCTTGTGCAGACAAGGCTTAAATTGCAGCAGCCTTTCCTGGCTATTCTATGGGTCACAGTACCAACTGAAATCTCTACATCATTGCATGCTGCAGCCCTGTTACAGACACGCCACTCCTGTCCTCAATCAGGCATGTCCTCTTTGTCAGGGCATAGGAGGGGATCCTCAGAAGACAGCCTTTTGGCTATCTTTCACAGCTCCTGTGCTGGCATAATCCTCCTCCAGATGGAAAAAGAGCTTTTAGAGCTTCTTTATGCTACTCCAGCCATTTTACGCCACATAACCGGCACAGAATGGGGGGTGAGAATCACACCCTTAGGGCCTACATTAGGACAGGCCATATTAACATCTGCTTGGTATTCAAATAAAAAAAAAGTGTCACTAGCATTGGCTATGTTTCATATTTTCCACAACAGCTACACAAAATTCAAAATGTGTTGGCACTTTAACTACACAAATATGCAGAGTATTGGTGCTGCCACACAATGCCAGAAATCAGGACTAATTTCAAATACAGACAAGGCCTAAATTAGCACAATGTACCTTGAGAATGGCAAGTGCCAAGCTTCAGACATTCCATTCCATTCCTATGACTCAAGAGTAACATCACTGACATGGGAAAAAAACCTGAGCCAGTAATGCTTATTTATGGTTCCTGTGTACAAATCTCAGTATTCCTCCTGTGCTCCTCAGACCAAAGCAAGTTTTGTTCAACAGGGCAACCACAGTGTACGTGTATTTTGTGTGTGAAAATAAATCCTGTTTATTCAGTTGATTTGGCACATCTGGTAGGAAATTAGATCTGAGTGGATGATCAATGCAAGAATCTCTTTAAACAGCATTACATAAAATTTACAAAATAAGAGTCTGATTCATCACTATGTACCTCTGGTTTTACGATGGTGTAATCTATTGGAGTAATTTAGTAGTGAATCAGGACCTTAAATGTTTAAACTGGAAAACGGCCAAATTACTTCATCCCCAGCACGTAACAGGAAAAAGCCCTCATGGGAAGCAAGTACCTTCTCAATAAACACATCTAGCCCCTTCCACCACTCGATACCAGTGGCTAGATCACAAGTTATCCAGTTAGAGACAAAATACACTTCTAGTATAGCAGTATAATACCTTCTGTGAAATCAGAAGAAGTTTCACTGGTGCAAATTGTGGCTTTGCTTGTCTACATGAGAGGTTTGCACAAATGCATTTGCACCAGTAGCTGAAATTGAGGCTAATTCTACGTGGAAATAAGATGTAAATTAAGGATATTTAGAGAATGGCAGCTTCCAGACTTCAGCTTGTATAGTATTTATTCAACATTTACATTCCTCATAATTAGCCAAGGCTCGAAGAAGGAACTTCAGTAATAAATAATTCAAATCTTACAGTTCTAAACTTTCAAAATGGACTTTTATTCAGAAGATGATTCAGTGCTAAAAAATGCACTAGGTGGATTAATTAGAATTTGTTTGCATTGTACTCTTCTGTTCTAATAAGGAGGGAGCTTTGTAGAAAGAATCTAGATAGCAGATTGCACAATTCTGTATTTGTGAGGGAAAATACAAAATGAAATCAGTATAGCCCTCAGCACTTAGGAAACTCCAACTGGTGCAGAACGTTGCCGCACATCTCCTCAGCAACACAATGGCTACTGGGAACACATCAAACCTCTCAACCAGTACCTTCCCAAAGAATATCAAATCAAGTTCAAGGTCTTAGTCCCTACCTTCAAAGATATCCCAGGACTGGGCCCAAGGATACCTAAAAGACCATCTAAAGCTCCGGGATAAAGACTGTAGTCAACAACTTTGTCCTTTGGCACAACTGCACTCCCACACAGACACGCGTTATTCTTGTTGAAAGACAGAACTTTCTCCAGGGGCAGTCCAAGGCTGTGGAATGAACTCCCACTAAGGACTATCACAAACCTCACACCACCTCCCGCTGCAAGTGCGAGGAATACTTATTTGATCTTGCCTTCTCTGATATAAACACAGAGCAACTGGTGTCTAGATAGATAGATAGATACTAACTATATAAAAAAAGAAACTCCGCTGCACATGGTTCTCCCTCTGGGGAGAGGGGGAGAGAACAAAACACGTGACAAATGTGTAATCACGTAGTTTAACACGCTATTGGAATACTACAGTGACGAGCACAGTAAAAAAAAATCAGTATAGGATAAAAAGAAGAGAAGTCTATACTATACAAAGTTAAACCTTTGGGATTTGGATTAATGCCATTTTTTTCAAGCTTTAATTTTAACTAACCCAGGCACAAAATCTTCACCTGTCCTTTCACCATCATCAGGATGATGAAAGATTACCTTTTACTAACCTGCCCAAAAAGAAAGACTGACTTTAGCTTACTTCTGACTTTATCATAATTTGTGTACTTTACAGTTATATTGTCTATACTTTTCTTCCAATCAGTTTGTTTCATATACCCATTGGGTTGTCATAACCTTGATTGCAAGCTCACTGGGGAAAGGGCTGTGTATCTGTCTAGCGCCTAGCCAATGGGCCCTTGATCACCGACTGGTGCTCCTAGACCAGGGGTAGGCAAACTTTTTGGCCCGAGGGCCACATCTGGGTATGGAAATTGTATGGTGGGCCATGAATAATCACGAAACTGGAGTTCGGGATGTGGGAGGGGGTGTGGGCTCCGGCTGGGCATGCGGGCTATGGGGAGGGCCAGAAATCAGAAGTTCAGGGTGCAGGAGGGAGCTCCAGACTGGGACAGGAGGGTGTATAGGGGGGGTGAGGGCTCCGTCTCGGGGGTGCAGGCTCTAGGGTGCGGCTGGGGATGAAGGGTTGGGGTGCAGGAGGGTGCTCTGGGCTGGGACAGAGGGGTTTGGAGGGCGGGAGGGGGATCAGGGCTGGGGCATGGGGTTGGGGGCACGGGAGGGAATCAGGGGTGCAGACTCCTGGCGGTGCTTACCTCAAGCAGTTCCCAGAAGTGGCGGCATGTCCCCCCCTCCAGCTTCTATGCGGAAGCGCGACCAGGCGGCTCTGTGTGCTGCCCTGTCCGCAGGCGCTGCCCTGTGGCTCCCATTGGCCGCGGTTCCTGGCCAATGGGAGCTGCAGGGGCAGAGCTTGGGGCAAGGACAGTGTGTGGAACCCCCTGGCTGCCCCTCCACATAGGAGCCGGAGGGGGGACATGCTGCTGCTTCCGGGAGCTGTGCGGAGTGGGGCAAGCCCCCGACCCTGCTCCCCAGCGGGAGCTCGAGGGCCAGATTAAAACATCTGGAGGACCGGATGCGGCCCCTGGGCCGTAGTTTGCCCACCCCTGTCCTAGGCACTACTGCAATAAAAATAACAGTAATTACTTGTCCTGGATGAGAAGTCAAAATAATTTTTCAAGACTGTTTTAAAGTAGTTCTAATGCTAATACGTCACCAAATTGAATACCCACCCATTTTCTCCCTGTGTACCTTATATGTAATCCTTCCTCCTCAGAATGATTTAAGATAATGTATATACAACTGAAATACAGAGACTGAAAATGTCTTCCAGAATTTTTGCTTGCAAAACATACAGAAGAGAACTCCCTGCATATGGATAAGCACACCGAAATCACTACGGTAGTCCCCAGACTTCACACAAAGCACTACTATGAAAGAGAGAGCTAGAAGAACATTCTGAGCATCCACGTGAAAATGAACACATTAAGCAATATTCTGACAGTCGCTCACAGAGTCATTATATTCTTCTAGTGTCTAGCAGTGTGCAAATTTATTAGAATAAGCCTCTTATTCTCATGTATCATTTTATTTAAACTGAGATCTGAATAAAACTATTGAAGTAGAACAAATATAAATATCAGCATTTAGAAACAATAAACAAGCAACGTGATTTTTTTTAAACATAGCACTTCTTAGGAAAGTCAGTTTATATATGAACCTGGGCTACTCTTGATATTATAATAAAGTGTATAGGCAGATCCTTTTAAAACAAAATTACTCAATAGAAGGCACCATCGACATTTTAATGGTATAACATTTTTAAAGAAAATTTACCTGTGTAACTACCACCTTGGGAGACTTAAAAATTAAAATTATTTTCAAATTGAATTTGCCTTTCTCCATTTCTTATTTTGGTTGTAATATCTAGGGAAAATAGGGAAATTCATCTTACCTTAGCCCAAAATTTCCTTTCTTCTAGGGCAAAAGTCCACAGATCCAGCACAATGGGTCTTATTCCTGCTTGTGGCTTCTAGGGCTCAGTAACCAGACTTGTCAATCAGTGAGGCTGGGAGTGGCCACACTCCCGAAGACCCAGTCGGCTAGCCAGTCCAAGATACTTCCAAAGCTGTTTTGTAGAGCTATGTCCTTTAAAGTTTAATTTACAGGTTAATAAAAAAAAAATCATACAAAAACATTTCATGCTGCAGAGCAACGTGAAAATCCACCCCAAATACATTGTTCCCACAAGTAAAAATTCCACCCCAAGGAAATATAGGTATTGTGCCCATAAAGAAAATGGAGGAGAGTGAGACACGAAGCCTCCCTCAGAACCATAATCCATATGCTGGGTGGGTTGGATCTGTGGACTTTTCTGCTAGAAGAAAAGAAATTTTTGGATAAAGTAAGAAATTTTCCTATTCTTCTTTATAGGGAAAGTCCGCAGATCCATTATAGTGGGATGTCCAAAAGAAGTGTATAACCAGGGAAGGAAAACAAAGAACGAATAAGGAGAGAGCGCTCTCACTGTTTTTTAAATATATTCCAGGGTGAACATATCATACAGACCCCTCCATCCAATGGGAGAGGCTGAGGAAGTCTGCAAAACTTTAAATTTGCAAAACTTAGTGAAGGTGTGAAAAAACATGACCAGGTAGCCACTGTACATCTATATTTGTACGTTGTATGTATGAATCTTCTGGTCAGGACTATTCCATGGCTCTGAATGAATGAGCACTTGTCCTTTCGGCCACTTTGCATTGACGCGATCCATCCAGGCCTATAACTTACCACTATGCTATACATATAGACCAGCCCCTTTAGCTGCCCTGTTTGTAAAATACCTTATCAAGGCTAAAAGAGAAGTGTGTTATAAACATATCTGAATATCCTATTTTATGCATATTGTGTATTTAGTTAGATATAATTTTCTGGCCTTGGGTGCAGAATTTTGTCCTTCAGCAGATTCTTCTTGTAGAGGTTGCCACTTGAATTGGACATGAGACCCAGAACTTCCCTTGACAATGTAGGGCCAGCCCCCACTCACTCTACTTCTTGTGGTTGTCCCGGAGTATGTTATGACATCCCCTCCCCCCCACAAAAAACAGTCATGCTTTTGAGCCATGAAAGAAAGTGAACAATTGCAGCTATGGCCTATCAATTTCTTCATCTGGAACAACACTTCAGTTTCTTTGCTGGGTTCTGGAGGCAGATAGGTCCATTGACAGACAGGCAACTCAAGGCTGTCTCTCCCCTTGAAGACGTTGGGCTATAGACTCCACTCTCCTGTATTTTTCCTTTGCTTTCTTAACTGATATTTATTTCCTCTTTATATGAGGTGCTTGAGTATACAGCAGATTTCTTTTTTTTTCTTGTTTTTTTAAATATGCCCCAGGAACAGAGATTAGAAGCGCACAGCCATATTGAAGATCTGGCACCACCTTGTTGATAAAAGCCATTGCTGAAGTGCTGTAAGACACTACCTGTACATCTTGGCTGGTCAAGACTGGACTCTTAAAACCTGATTGCTCTGTTGGAGGTCTCATCTTCCATTATCCTTGGATAAAATGGTTCCCTCAATAAGGTTCCCTGTTCTTGAAGCTGGCACGGATTTTCTTCACCAATCCTTTCTGACTGCAACACGCTGTGACTTTCCAAGTACTCCTTGGCACTGGGGCAAGGGAAAACAGGAATGATGGGTACTACAAACTCAAGATATTTAGAAATTTATGGAGAAAATAACTCACATGAACTCTCTCTTTCAACAGAATGTTATTGCTAGAGCCCTTCATTCTTATCCAAGACATTAGAACCATGATAGATGTGACTGCAGAATGGGTGACATTGTGACTTCTGAGCACTGGCTTCTGAATCCTGATCTCTGATAGAAATAAACGCCTCTGGAAGCGGATATCTATGACTACTCCCAGAAGTAATATTGATTGCATGACATCATCGGGATGTTGGTGATATTGCCAAAAAACATGTTGTTCCAAAAAATCTGAACTGCGTAATGGCTGCTTTGTGGGCCTTTTCAAGGAACAGTAATCTGATGGATGGGACACCTTATGTATATATGGAACCCTTTCTGCTCGAGAAAAAAAACAGCATTGACTTGCATTTTGGAAAACACCCCTAAAAAGGCAGGTAGGCCCAGGAATAAAGAGGTATAGTTGGTAACTTTGTCTGTTGCATGTCACACTGATATCTCCTCTGAGAGGGTCGCATAAGAGTATGTAAATAGGTGTTCATCAGATCAATTATTGATGGAAATGGATGCTTTGGTAGAACGTAAGGTCTCCATCCTGAACTGAACTATGGCTTTTGGATAAAATCCACTCAAGAATTTCCAGTTGAGACTCCCTGTTTGGAATTTGGGCACTAGAAAGAAGACAAAGAAGAAGTGTAAATCTTGTTATTCCCTGGGAGATCAATTTTGAAGCAGATTAATACTGCAGCCTTCATATGCTCACATTTTAATTGGTTGGAAGAAGGGGATGTCAATCTTGGTTTGGAATGATTTTAATCTCAGATGTAAGCCACACTGGGTATCTCTGGTTAAGATTCATTCTTCTGACAGCATTGATCCAACACTTGAAATTTCATGTTCTCTATTTGGGAAACCACTTCAAACTGAATCAGTCTGTAGTCATACTTGCTTGAAAAAACGCAGAGGGTTGTCCTGCAGTATCTCCTCTGTCTCTTATGCCACTTTGTGTATTCAATCAGCTCAGCTAGATGGACATACCTCCTATAACTCATAACTGGATCAAAGAGTGCCAAGACCCACAGTAGGTCTGTATTTCCTTTTGATCTACCAGAGTGCCTTCGGTTATGATTATTTTTTACATTATATTATTAATTATTAATTATTATTATTATTAAAGGAGGATTTCCCTGGTAGTGCCATCAGGATACTTAATAGTAACAAATACCTGATTTGCCTGGGGATTGGATTTCTGGAAGAATATACGGTCCACATAATACTCCTGAGAATGGTTTCAAATTGCTCCTCAAAAACTGACTCTGAGGTTCTTCCTCTGAGGGCTGTAGCCCAAAGACTGAAACAGCTCTCACGTAAGTGAATATGAGGAGACTTCTCTGCACTTTCTGGGCTCTTTCTTGTCCCTTTCAGAGCCTTTAATCTGGGAAGATTTGCATTACAGCGAGCTAGAAGGGGAAGAAAGTCCCTGCACCTCTTTTTCCTCCTTTTACTACGAAAATCAAGCCTTAGAAATTTCCTTTGTGGAGGAGTGACTCCTGTGGCCAGAATCTGTAGCATGCCTTTATCTTTCCTTCCCAGTTTGTCAGAGTTATAGGGGGGAAAAGTGAGAGAAATTAATCTTGAAGTCCAGCTACTGAGTGTATCCTGATTTATGGAGCTTGCCACCCCCTAAACAGTAGGACAAAGGGAGAGAGAATGGCCTCTATCGCCTATGATAACAGAATATCACTGAAGAGAGACCCTGGAGGGAGAACCTGCTGCTGTGCTACAAATCTTACACTTATTTCAGTAAGGTTCACTCTTTTGAGAGGATTTCTTAGTAGGGTTCCTTAAACTTTACAGATGCTCCCTAAACCCCTGCTTGAGGCAAGGGCACATGGCACAGCCCTTTTGCCTCACTGGATCCTGCCGTGAACCAGGTAGTCTTACACAA